GGGAGCTTGGGGTGGGGGTTGCTTTCTCAGGACTGAAGCCTGTTTCCTGAGCCTAGTTATAGTGAGAGAGTATGGCCCCCTCACCTCAAGGCCAAGGTCTCTCTGGGGCCAGGGTCCCCAGGGCTGGGCTTGTTTCTTACCGTTTTGCCCCGAATGCCAGGTAGGATGATGATGAAAGTGACCAGTGCAGTAAGAAAGATGGTGATGATGATGGCCAAGGTGGTGTCCATTGGGAAGGTTGGCTTGGGGCCAGCATAGAAGGGGAATGTGTGTCCAAAAGCAGCCATTCTGGTGGGGTTGTGCAGGGAAGGCAGATGCTGTACAAGAAAGATAGATGTTTATTGAGTGCCCTGTGTGCCAGGCACTGTTCTTGGTGCTGGAGATACAGCCAAGAATAAACCAGATCAGGCCCCTCTTCTCTTGAGCTCACCAGACTCCACTGTTACTGCCATTCCACTCCCCATGTTCTGGCTGTGAACCCATGTTCTGGCTGTGAATGAATGAGGGTCTTGGCAATCAGTCTCTGTGGTTCCATGTTCCCTTCCTAACCTCCAGGTCTCTAAATCAGTGCCGCCACCACCCTGGAGGCTTCTCTGCTTCCTTTGGCACTGTCTTAAGAGACACAATTCTTTTTTTTCTTTTTTTTTATCTCCCTCAGGCCTCCAGACACATCACAGAACAAAAAAAGAGCTATATTTACTATCAAGTGAAAGCATAAGGGTAAAAGATAGTACAGATGGCACAAATTTTGGTTTTCCTCCTCAGTCCCCAAAGGAACAAAGGTCAGACAGCTCTGCTAAGTATATGATCCAACTATATTATCAGAAGGCTGATTTCCAGACCTGGCACTGCCCACACTAGTCTGTCAGCTTTCTCAAGTGCCTGGCTCCAGCTCTGGCTACTCCAGAACAATTGAGTTGAATTGAGTTCACCTCAATAAGCGCTGAAGGAGCACCTGCCATCCACCAGGCATGGCGCCAGGGCCAGAGGCCAGATGTCCTTCTACCGCACACGTCATCAACCGCAGCCTTCCTCCTTGACTTAAATTCCCAGGCCTTATTTCAGCTCACACACTGGCTCAGCTCTTCTCTGCCTGTTCCCTGATTTCAGAGCTATATTTACTCTAATTTGTCCCTTTGCAGACAGATAGTGTGTTTTATTAAATCCAGACAAAATGGATTACAAGACACACTATTACTTTATGCGAAAGAAAGAAACTACAAATTAAACCATGACAGCCATTGTTGGTAAGATACACCTCAATTTCAGAGATGTCAAAATGTGAGAATAAAGTATATTTTACAATCAATGATTCCAGCTCTGCTCATTTCCCTGAGTGTGATCTACACTGGGATCTTGGTTTGCGCAAGAGGCTCCATGCTTTATACACTGACTAGAGGCCCAGTGCATGAAATTCATGCATGGGGTGGGTGTGGGGTTCCTCAGCCCGGCCTGCACCCTCTCCAATGCAGGACCCCTCAGGGGATGTCCGACTACCTCTCGCAATCCGGGACCATTGGCTCTTAACTGCTCTCCTGCCTGCCTGCCTGATTGCCCCTAACCACCTCTGCCTGCCTGCCTGATCATCCCTAACTGCTCCCCTGCTGGTCTGATCACCCCTAACTGCCTCTGCCTCACCCCGCACCCAGGACCCAGGCTTCCCTCCCTCTGGCTGGCCATAGGCACCCAGGACCTGGGACAGCTTCGCCCGGGCCAGCCGCAACTGCAGGGGACCATGGGTGGGCAGCTTGTCCCTCTCCCGGGCCGCAGGCACAGGCACTGGCGCCTGGGACCGTGGAGCAAACAGCTTGTCCCTCTCCTGGGCAGAAGGCGCAGGCACAGCCACTGACGCCCAGGACTGCGGGGCGGGCGACTTGTCCCTCTCCTGGGCCACAGCCTGGCTGGTCCCCATTCCTCTCTTGTGAGCTCATTTGTGCCTGGCTGGTTACCATTCCTCTCTCCTCAGTGTTGAGTGTCTGAGCCATTATGGCGTGATGGCATGAGGGCATGACAGTGTGAGGGTGTGATGACCATTTGCATATTAGCTCTTTATTATATAGGATGAGAGTGAAAGAACAAGCTTTGGAGTTAAGTAGTTCTATGTTTAATTTCCACCTCTGCCTCTTGCAAGTTACTTGACCTCTACAGAGAATTTTATTTAAAAACTAGAGGCCCAATGCATGGATTTGTGCACTGGAGGGTCCCTTGGCCTGGCCTGCACCCTCTCGCAATCCGAGACAGGGGATGTTGGAGAGCCGGTTTGGGCCCAATCCCCACAGGCCAGGCCAAGGAACCTCACCAGTGCAGGAATCCATGCACCAGGCCTCTAGTATGCATATAAGATCTTAGGTTAATCTCTTCCTGCCCTCCCACCTCCCCCCTTCCCTCTGAGATGAATCAGTCTGTTCAATGTTTCCATGTCTGTGCGTTGAGTATCTGCTCCCTGGTGGTCAGTGTGCATCATAACTACCTGTCAAATGGTGGAACAGTGGCATAGGCTTTTATATATATAGACTAGAGACCCAGTGTACAAAATTCGTGCACAAGTAGGGTCCCTAGGCCTGGCCGGCAATCAGGGCTGATCTGTGGGGCAACCAGCAGGGCGATCAGGGCCCCTGCTTGCACCTGCCTTGGCCTGGTGCCGCCTGCTCGCCGGCCCCTCCCCCTGCCCCTGGTCGCTGTGCTGCTCTCATTGGGGCCCATCGGGGTCCATCAGGGTCCATCGGGGTCCATCGGGGCCAGCAGTGCCTCCACTGCTGCCAGCCCGCCCCGCAGTCCCGATGCCCGCCATCTTCTGTGCCACCCCCTGATGGTCAACGCACGTCTAACTCCCAGTCAGTCAAACTGGTCAGTGGAACTCCTGCCCGTGAGGACAATTTGCATATTTGCCTTTTATTATATAGGATGGAGATGATAATAATGTTTACATCATAGGGTCATTGTGAATATAAAATGAGACTGTGTATGTAAAGTGCTAAGAATAGTACCTGGAACAGAATATCAATACATGGAAGCTACCAGATTGGGAAGGCGATGACAATCTATTATTTCATTTATCTCCAATCCTTTTTGGAGAGAACTGGGCTGGAATCAGTTCTGGGTCTGGTTCCAGTTCTTCAACGAATAATGTAACATTAGGAAGGCAAATGACAACTTCCCCAGTCCTTTGTTTCTTTCTCTACAATTAGATATGATGATCTTGGAGTCCCTTCTAGTTCTAAATACTGTGATTCTCCTACAAAACATCATAGCTCCCAGACTTCCCCTTTCCTTCTGGGCTAGTTATTTTCTTAACTTGTCAACTCTCCCATCCCAGAGGAAGGAGTATCTCTTTTTCTTCTGGGCTCTGAAACCTATCCAGCCTGCCTTCACCACCACCTTTCTCATAGCTTATGCTTCTCAAATCTATATTTCTAAGTAGACCTCTTATCTGGGCTCCAAACACAACAGGGTCAATTACCCCATGGGCTTTTTCACTTGGATGTTCCATGGATGCCTCAAATTTAACAGGTCCCAAACTGAATTCACTGTCTCTATTTTGCTTTTCATTTTTTATCTTTTTGGTCACCACTCCATTAATCAAATAAAGCAGAGACCTGGAATATCGTACTTCTTAAATATTTATTGAAACCATCCATGCATTTCCTTCCCCACTGCCTCTGCCCTAATTCAGCCTCATCCTGTCTTGCCTGGTGTCAGAACAATATTTCTAACAAGCAAATAGAATTATTTCAATTTTTTGCTCTGGGGAAAATCTAATCTCACCATCACATAGAAAGTCCTTTGTAGTCTGGTCCCACCTACCCTTCCATCTCCATCTTTCACTCAGCCTAATCTCTAGCCACACTGAGCTATTGGTCTTTCTCGAAATCTGACATGCTCTTTCAAGCCTTCATGCCTTTGTACGTGCTATTTCCTCTGCTTGGAATGCTCTTACATTCTTGGCAAACGCCTTTTCACTTTTCAAGTCTCAGCTTGTGTTAACCCCTCTGTGAAGGATGCTATCAGATATATGTGGATGTTCCTACATCTAATGTTCTGATTGCATTTTGAACACACCTCCGTCCATGATCCCAATAATCAATTTATAGTCTGTTTGAACATCTCCCTCCCTTCTAGCTTTGACTATCCTTATTCCATCTTTGCAACTCCTGAACATAGCATATACTAATCAGTCTGTGGATCAAATGAATGAATATTATGAACGGGTTCCTCCCTGTGCAGGCAGCATCTTCTATTTGGAACACAAGGGGGAGCTATATTCCCTCATTGTCATTCAACATTACTTTGAGTTCTCACCAATATAGGGCTAAGGACTGGGCAGGAAGGGATTTGACTAACCATGTCAATTTTTAATGATTTCACAAAATTTTCAGAAATTTTGGATTCTTCAAAGCACGAATGTTCATTTTAAATTGAATGGTTGGATTCTTCAAAGCACGAATGTTCATTTTAAATTGAATCTGAAACATACATTTGAACTCTAGCTCAACGTGAGTAACAGAATTTGTGGATTAAATTATTTTGTAAAATATGTCATAGTGATATTTATTTTATTTTCAAAAATATTTTAATTGATTTCAGAGAGGAAGGAAGAGGGAGAGAGAGATAGAAACATCAATGATGAGAGAGAATCATTGATCGACTGCCTCCTACATGCTCCTCACTGGGGATCAAGCCTGCAACCCGGACATGTGCCCTTACCAGGAATCGTGCCTTGACCAGTAATCGAACCGTGATCTCCTGGTTCATAGGTCTGATCGCTGAGCCACACAGGCTGGGCAGTGATATTTATTTTAAAGCAGATGTTTATTGGTCTAAGAGTTTTAAATTTATGAAGCCTAAAATGAAACCATTATAATTTTGATAGAAGGCTATATTTTTTAGGAAGTCTATAAAATGATTAGTTAGTAAGATAGGAAGATAAAGCAAGCTTGCTAATACATGTTACATTCTGTAACTTCAAAAACAAATATTTGCAATATAAGCAAATAATAGTGTAATGTATTTTGGTCAGGGTCACCTTATTCCTGCATTTATTTAAAAGGGAAGTTATACAATATGTTACAAGAATGGCTCATCTCTATTAGTATGGTGCAGCAAAGAAACACTACCAAAGGCTTTCTGTATCCTAAGCACAGAACATTGTTAACTTATTTCCAATTTTCCAAAATATTTATTAAAGATGACTAAATCAAAGAGATAATTGGTGAATGAAATTTGCCTTAAGTTTTTTTGTTCAATTTAATAAATTAGGTCTTTCTTAACCACATTGCCTAGTTTTTTTCTTTGTTTTTTTTAAAATATATTTTTATTGATTTCAGAAAGGAAGGGAGAGGGAGAGAGAGATAGAAACATCAAAGATGAGAGAGAATCATTGATCGGCTGCCTCCTATATGCCCCACACTGGGGATCAAGCCCACAACCCAGGCTTATGCCCTGACTGGGAATCAAACCATGACTTCCTGGTTCATAGGTCGACACCCAACCACTGAGCCATGCTGACCAGGCAACATTGCCTAGTTGAAAGTTAATTTTTCATGCTCCTGTCTTAATTTGATTTTCATGATTTAGCTAACAGGCCTCTCCTGCATGAAGAGGTGGGACTAAAATGAAAAGTCCCCACATCCAGCAATCCTGCTTTTCCTATGAAGCTTATCATTTCCCTCAGGAACACCTTCCTCCCTGATTTGCCAAGAAGGGTCTGACAGTAGAATTTCTCCTCATCTGATAAAAATCTCATGTCAGTCTTCACTTGACCCACTTCTCCCTGAGCTCACCACCATGATTGGGAAATAAACACAATGCACATTGTTATTAATAAACACTAGGAACAATCAGACATACACCTACAAGTTCATATAAACAGAAATACAGGCACAACAAGGAAGAAGTTCGCAGTAACAGACATCTAGACACTAAAGCCCTGCACCAGATGCCCCTGTAACAAAACTGGGGTACTTTTTCACTGGGGCAGGCCAATCCTCACACTTTGGGGTCCTCCTTTATTACCTGACCTGGAAAGATGTGCCCTTTCTGATGTCCCTTAAAATACTGAAGCATTTCTCATATTAAGTTGTATTCCGGACACATCCTTCCTGCCGTAGGATGAAAAGGGACTCCCATGTATGTATGAGGGGCCAGCAAGAAATAGATCCAATCTTTAAGAAAATTGATCCTAGTACAAGCTACAGTCCCCAGCATCCAAAGTTCTCAGCCACTTTCTTACTGCTCTGTAGCCTCTCTTATAGCTTGACAGGAATTTCTTCCTGAAGTCTCCTGCCCACCTCCCCCATCTCTGGAACCCATAGAGTAAGGACTATTAATTCTCTCTACAAATGAGGAGTGGGTCACATGTCTGGAGTTGCCAAGAGCTCTAATGGGTGATACACAGCTACTATACTGTGATTGATGGTTTATTTCTCTGGTTGGGGTTGACCCCATTAAAACTTTACAGCCCTGGCTAGCTAAGGAGACCCCGTCACAAACTCCTGTCCCCGCCTCTCTTCTTTAAGAACGTGCGTGGGCATGTGTATGTGCGTTGTTGCACTAAAGGAAAAATTAAATGGAGAATCAGAACAAGATCAGAAAAGCAGCCTGAGACAAGGATCTCCAGTAAGGGCTGAGGTAGTAAGGACCCAGGGGTACTGAATCATACAAACCGAACTATCCAGACTTTAGCTAAGCAGGGAGAAGGACTGGGTGTCTGTAAGTCTTGCGACATTTATGGCCTTACAAGATTTTTCTTGCTTCCTCTTAGCTTCTTACCAAACTTTTTCTTTGAAAATCTGGTTTTGATCCGATTGAACACAAGAAGTGCGCCCCTAGGGGCCCGGGCGAGGGCGGCACTTTAAGCCCCCCTCCAAAATGCACCGGGACTGCAGCCACATCCCCGCCACTCACATGGTACCAGGGTTCCCCACCTTCGCGTCTTCAAACAATGCGTGCGTGGCAGCTCGCGCCGCTGGCCTCCTCCTATGGAACCTCGCCCGCGACGCTCTCCGGGGTGGAATCAGGGGACCTGGTCCGGACGTTCTGTCAAGAAAGCGCGCGCCCTTTCTCTCCGCGGGGCTCCCTTCCACCCCCCACTTTTCTCATCACTTAAGGACCAGGCTCTGACCCGACAAACCGGGTCCCGGATGCTTCTCCACCTCCTATTTTAAACCACCCTCGACCTTCTCAGACTGCAGCCCAGGCTCCGCGGCGCTGCCCAACGCCAGCCCGGCACAGAGGAGGGACCGTGCCCCTCCGCAGCCACCCCTCAGACTCCGCTCTCCTCCCCGCATGCTCAGCGCCCCGGCAGCTCCAGCACAAACCTAGCGATGCTGTCCGGGGCGCGGGCAGCGTGAGACCTCCGCGATCTCACGGTGAACTGCTCGGGGGTGGCGAGGGTGGATAGCACCGTCTCCAACAGGGTCTGAGGATGCGTGTCTTGCTGGGACGCCTGGCCAGGTCTTCGGACCAAGGTCTTAGAGCCCAGAACCAACGGTGCGGAGAGGATTTAGGGAGCGCCTCTCCGGCCCCCTGCACCCTTTCCGTCTTCCACTCCCAGCCTCAGCAGACCCGTGCAAGCGGACTTGCCCTTTTCGCTCCTCACGTGGCCACACCAGCTGAGCCCTAGCCACGGACGCGAACTTTCCCTCCACTTGGGTCCTGCGAGCACGTGGCGTCTCACCTTGCGCTCCCGGGTGTCCACGGGGCACCTCGGCGGGTCCCCAGTGCGCCGGCTTCTACCCCGCCCCATTTCGCCCCGCCCAGCCATAGATCTGGGGTGCGCCGCCTGCTGTCACCGACCCCCCCCCCCCCCCCCCCCAGCCCCGCCCGTCCTGGCGCAGAACTAGAGAGGGAGCTGGACGAGAGCGGGCGTCCGGGAGCGAAGCCGCAGTCCCTGAAGGGGGGACTCCGCAACCGCAGGTCAGATGCCGGAGGGCTGCCCTGGGCCTGCAGATCTGGCGCTGGGAGAAGGGGGCCGGAGGAGGGGGGAGCGGAGGGAGCCCCAGCTCCGCCACATTTTTGAGGGAAGGGGAATTCAGCCAGACCCTCCCGCGCCTCCGTTCTTAGCCTGAGGCTGCAGTGGGTCCCGTTAGGGCCTATCCTCCACCCACCAAGGTTTTGGGAGACTAGATGCTTTGGGGTCTGGGAATGTTGGGTGACCTGGTTTGCTTGGGCGTCGGGGGATCTCCCTGAGCTCTTCCTGGCAGCAGCACATCATGCCGGGAGGGAACTGGGGACTTTTAGAGACCAGGCTTTCCTCTTCAGTCCTCCCTTGGGACCAAGTTGGACTCCCTAGCAGTGGTCGGCAAACTCATTAGTCAGCAGAGCCAAATATCAACAGCACAACGACTGAAATTTCTTTTGAGAGCCAAATTTTTTTAACTTTAACTATATAGGTAGGTACATTGTTATTAACTTAATTAGGGTACTCCTAAGGCTTAGGAAGAGCCACACTCAAGGGGCCAAAGAGCCACATGTGGCTCGCGAGCCCCAGTTTGCCGACCACAGCTTAGGGCCTTGACTCCTCTTTCCCCACCCCAGAGTCACTGCTGTAGGACTTCGTGGCTGGAAAAGTTGCCATGTGGGTCAAGAAGGAGGCAGGCCTGTATTCGCTTCCTGGTTCTGCCGCTGCCTGGGGCTTTACAGCCCTTTCCTGAGGTTGTGCCTTCCTTTGAAGGTTGGTAAAAAGTTAGGGAACAAATGTGCTATGTAAATCCCTGTGGCTACCCACCCACAAGGAGTGCTTATTACGTATCCACCTTCTCCTTCAGGTTGTTCCCACAGCCTGGCCTGCAGGCTCGCTGCATGCTTTTAGGGACTGAGTGGTACATTGGTGTCCGGACCAAGGATCCAGAAGTCAGAGTGGGAGGGGAAGGAAGCAGGACATTCTAGATCAGGGAAGGACCACTGTGGGCACTTCAGCATGTCCAGCCTTATGGCTTCAACCATCCAGAGCCCTGCTCTTTCTTCACAAACTATCAAAGGCTGGTGTCTGGACAGTCTCTGGGATGGAGTGGGTAGAACACTAAGCTTTTGAATTATGACAGGGCCTACATTTTTTCATTTTTTTCTTAAATTTTTTTATTTTATTGATTTCAGAGAGGACGGGAGAGGGAGAGAGAGTTAGAAACATCAATGATGAAAGAGAATCATTAAATAGCTGCCTCCTGCATGCCCCACACTGGGGATCAAGCCCACAACTCGGGCATGTGTCCTGACCAGGAATCAAACCATGACCTCCTGGTTCATAGGTCGACGCTCAACCACGGAGCCACGCTGGCTGAGCTCATTTCTTTAATGAGATATGGTCAGTGGGGGTGAGGTCACCCTCTGGGTTCCCTCCTCTGTGACTAGACAACCTACCCAGGAGCCCTGAGGGCTTGGCTTAGAGATGAGGCTTTCCATGAGCTCCCACCTTCCTCCACTAGATAGTTCCCCAGCCCCGCTCCACCCCCAACCTCCATATTGCCTTTAGGAGGTCTTCACTGGTGTTGGGCGCTCCCTGTACCACTTAGAAGTCCCAACCTGAGTCCCCTGCTGCCTCTGTCTCCCTGTTGTCGCTAGGTGATCTATTGGCCTGGGGAGAGCGAGCAGGACGTTGGCATTAAACATAGGAACCCCTCTGAGTTGACTCAGAGGAGCCAAGCTCCAGCCCACACTCTCTAGATGACATTTACATAACACCTGCCACTTCTCAATCTCACATTTGATTCCCAAAACCATGCTAGGAGGTAGACAGTTCAGACATGTTTACTCCCACAACTGGAAGAGGAAACCAAGGTCCAGACCAGATAAGTGATCTCAGATCCACACAGTGGACTGGCAGTGGCACCATATCCTGGCCTCCTAACAAGGCTCTGTCCAAGGAACACACTGCATAAGCACGGTTTTCCATTTATTCTTGGGCAGCAAAGTCCAGTAATGTGAGGATCTCTGTTTGCTTTGTTCATCACTTAATCTCCAGTGCCTAGGCCCGTGCCCAGTACATAGTGGGTGTTCATCAAGTAATTTGTGAATGAGTGAAAGATTCTTGGGAGGGAGGGAGTCTCCTTGCTCTGTGCTACTTACTGTGGCCTTGTCCCAGCCCCATGCCTGGATTCATGCCAAGGCCCTGACCTGACTTTCCATAATTGCTGGGGTTCATTCTCTCGAAACTCTGTCTTTTTCTAGTGTCTCCATTTTATGGTATTCTCCATTTTCATCATGGGCTTCTGCCTGGCTCTGGCATGGACATTCCTGGTTGGGCCATGGATACCCACTGGTGAGTACAGCTTGGAGGAGAACCATGGCTAGGAGCAGAGGAACCCAGCATCTTCTGGGCTTCTCCAAGGACAGAAGCTGTATCACATTCATTTCTATGCCTGCTCCCTAGCTAACACAGTAGCCTGCAGGTGCTCATCTCCAGCGTGTTGATTGTGCCTTCCTTTCATGTCACGTATGGGGCCAGGAGAGCAGCTCTGAGATCCTGTCCTTAGTCTGAGTGGGTGACTCTTTGGCTAATGAGAGTACTTTTCTTTGCTCTGTTCTCCGAGTTGAGGAGAAGGGAAGACTCAGCCCTATGGCCTCCACCCCTGACCCCAAATAGAAAAAGATTAATTAGACACAGAAAAAAAATAAAGGATCTTGGGGTCAAATTGGACTGAATGCTGACTTCCTCAAAGGGAAGTCACCAATGTTCTAAAACAATATGATTAGGAAAAAAATCCACAAGAGTTTCATCTTGTTACCTTTGGCTTTGGATAGTCTCTTACTAGAATCTGAGGCAATTCCCTATAGTCTGGGTCTCTGAGGAGGGAAGTGGGCTTAAGGTGCCACAAATTAGGTTAAAAGAGCAAGTCTGTGATCATCAGGGGCGGGGATGCAAGAACAAGGAGCAAAGAAAATCTGTGAAATGATCTGTCCTGGCTGGCGGCATAGGGTGATGAGCCAGCCCCTGCAGCTTCTCCCTTGCCAGAGCTGCTCACATTTGCATTTCTTCCAACCTTATCTATGCCCTGGCCTTAGATTTTCCTTTTCTCTTGCCTCTAATTCCCAAGAGGCATTCTCCCCCATGCCCTCCCCAACAGCTCCCATCCCTTGTTCTGCCACAAGTTCATCTTATTTTAGAGATAGAATGTATGTGGCTGCCCTATTTCTGCCCCAAGTCCTGATCCTTAGTTGGTTTCTGCAGGGATGGAAAATTTTTCCCTTCATCCCTTCTTGATTCTTTGGCTTCTTTACCATCCTAAGCTGAGGAATGGGATAGTGGTCTGGGGCATCAAAGGGGAGAAGGGAAATTCATAAGACAATAGGAAGAGCAGATATCTGGTTAGATGTTTGCCCTGCCATCCAGATCAGAAGTTATCTCTGGTATTAACCCTCTTCCTGGGCCAGGCCCCTACCTAATATTTTTTAGGTGGTTGAGAAAAGGGTAGTTTTTTCTTGAGTCTGCTATATCTTGATTGCCTTCAGCTCAAAATAATCCACATGCCAAAGTGACATATTTTGGGGTCACTTATTCTGCTCCTCCTCAGTTCTTTGCTCAAATATCAGGGCCTGAGTCATTTTTCCTCTCTGACCACCTGGTGTGTGTGTGTGTGTGTGTGTGTGTGTGTGTGTGTGTGTGAACTATGGGGCAGGAGAGTAGCTCTGAGATCCTGTCCTTGGTCTGAGTGGGGAGACAATCTGAGGAATAGGCCTCCCTCTGGCTAATGAGAGTCCTTTTCTTTGCTCTGTTCTCTGAGTTGAGGAGAGGGGGAGACTCAGCGCTATGGCCTCCTCATTTGGGGAAAGGAATCTGACTGGTCATCTGATCTACTGACCAGAAGATCCCCTGCTATATTTCTGATTCTGGATGCTTCCCTCTGCCCCCATTGCCTGAGTTCTTCCCTCGGCAGCCGAGTACTCCCTCCCAAACCCTAGATTTTTGGAGCCAATAGGGTCAAGAGGAGGAATTATATGGGGGACATGTTGATCCCCAAAGAGAAGGGGGCAAGGTTATCCACTTGACTATCAGTCCCTGATCCCACCCAAGAAACTGGAAAAAGGATCAAAACCACAGCTCTGTGATCCACATCCTTGCTCTGGGCTCTACTCAGCAGGAGAGGGCCAAGCCCCTGCCCCTGCCTGGGGATGGATCAGAGAATGACATGTCCTTTCCTGGGTGGAAGAGTGGCTTGCTCTTTGGGGGTGGCTGTCTGTTTGGGGGTGGCTAGCTCTTGCTCTGTGTGATGTCTTAAGGCTTGGAGTGGCTGCTGTCCTGCCATGTCCCCCAGGGAGCTGAGGTGTGAGAGTGACAAAAGTCTCTTGCATCTCCTTCTCCGTTGCCCCTGTTCTTCTGCTTCCTCTTTCTCTCTGAGGCCATTTGTCAGCACACTGCACGTGGCTACCTGGCTACAATCCTGAAGTGCTCCCTGCCATATCTGACCCCCCCACCCCCCCGCAACAGCTTAAAGATTGGGCTTGAATTTGAACATCACTTTGCTCTGATTGGCTCCCTCTGTACCCTCCCCTACCTCCCACATCTGTGCTGGATGTCCACTTTCTGCTGACCCAAGTGTCAGGCTCACAGGACACAGATTCTGCAGGCCTGCCCATCCTCTCATGTACTGACTTGCACAGCTGCCCCTTCCCTCCATCCTCACACAGGAGCTCAGAATCCTATTTCCTGGGAGGTGCAGCGATTTGATGGATGGTACAACAACCTCATGGAGCACAGATGGGGCAGCAAAGGTCAGTGAGAGTCAAGTAGATACAGAGCCAAGGGTTAAGATGGTACCCACTGCTTAGGGCAGCGGTTCTCAACCTGTGGGTCCCGACCCCTTTGGCAGTTGAATGACCCTTTCACAGGGGTCGCCTAAGACCATCCTGCTTATCAGATATTTACATTACGATTCATAACAGTAGCAACATTACAGCTATGAAATAGTAACGAAAACAATTTTATGGTTGGGTCACAACATGAGGAACTGTATTTAAAGGTCCAGAAGGTTGAGAACCACTGGCTTAGGGTCAAGGACTGGCAGACACCAGCAATGGCTTATCCATTCCCGAGGTTTTAAGATCTGTGGTATGGAGGAAGCCTGGGAGAGAGGAGGTCAGGGAACTCCTCTGAGGATTGGTCCTTGTCCCTACCCATCCCATTGCAGGCTATCGGCTGCAGCGCCTGGTCCCAGCCACCTATGCAGATGGTGTGTACCAGCCCTTGGGAGAGCCCTACCTGCCTAATCCCCGTGACGTCAGCAACACTGCCATGAGGGGCCCTGCAGGGCAGGCCTCCCTGCAGAACCGCACAGTGCTGGGGGTCTTCTTCGGTAAGGGCCTCAACCTGTAGGGGATAGAGGCCAGGGGGGTCAGCCAGACACCTCTGTGTCTGAGGGGGACTCAGAGAATGAGGGAGAGAAATGTTGGAGGGTCAGAGAGACTGGGGAGAGAGATGGAGGGGCTGGCAATGAGGTGGGGTAGGGGTGGGAGCAGAGGGTTAAAGTCTGGTTAGAAGAGGAATAAATGTGCCCCAGGTTGAGCTGTTGACGGGGGTGGGGGTAGAAGCAGGAGCATGAAAATAATCTGGTGGGGGCTCTTGGTGGGATGCTCTTCTCACTCTTTGCCTCTGTGGCTCCTAAGACAGGCACAGTACAGGGTTCCTATCCTGGCAGGAGGGCTGGCGGGTG